TTTAAAAGATTCATTACTATGCTGTTTTTTTTTTCAAGGACATTTTTTATAAGAATATCGCTAGGAGGAAAGACGAGTGTGACGTTAACTAAGTTTCCTAATGTGCAGTTGTTGGCTAGAAATAAAAACATTAATATGGAAAATTCTGATCAAACATAAAGAGGGCAAATACAACATTAGCCCTGAGACGAAATATCATTCTGTTTTGTTGTTCAGGTGAATACGATTGTATGGACTGGACAGATGAGCGACCATTTTGGCCCGGTTCTGGTGATGCTTGTCCATTACAAACAAGCTTTTCATGTGATGAGCATATTTGTAAACGCGCTGAATTTTCATGCGGAAATGGCGAATGTCAGTCATTTGACACAAATCGTTTAAAAAGCTTTTGGTTTACGGCATATTCAGATTATTGTCAAAATTTGCGTGAACTAAACTATATTTGTGAAGCTAGTTCACATTTTCGGTTATGGACGATCGATAATGGTTATTGTTTGCCATATGAAATACCGTATGATGAAACCGTCGTTGATAATAATTGTAGTTTCTACGTTAAATGTGCTCTTTCATGTGGTTTAAATCTAAATTGTCCGTGTCGGAACGATACTGTTGATTGTATAACTAATAAAATAAAGATTACGTGCCCCGATGATAAAATATTGTATCCACACGGTGCATTATTTACACCTTATTATCACCTAATCTATTTACGTGAGCATAACTGGTTGGAGAAAACTCCCGATTTTCTATTATACAATGGGAGTATCAAATGTAAAGGTTATCAAATTAGCTCATTCGATAAACAATATGAAAAGAAAATTGACTCTAATACCCGATTGCTTACATTTTATTTACATGAAAAAGATTTCTGTGAATTAAAAAGTGCAAATCGATCTTCATTAGCTCCGCATTACGATCAACATTGTTGGAATTATTCAAAAACATATAATAATCGTCCATATGCTATATCTCATGTATGTAATGCTCAATGCATGTCAGTGTATCGTGTGCGAGATGGCATCTATGATTGCATTGAAGAACATGTATCGGATGAAGATCGTGGTATTAATGGATCATGTCTTTCTATTAAACATCATCGTTTTCAATGTTCACAATCAGAAATATCTTGTCTACTGGCCGGTGCTGTCGGTGACTCTGATGCTCATTGCACCAATCGTCAAGATGAATATGCAACATCCGCACTAAAAGATATTAAATGTGAAAAACCTAGCGACGAAGGCTGTCAAATTCATCGTGAATATATTTCTCATTCACCAATGGCGAACATGCTTCCAATGTATAACAATATAAGTGAAACAGCAGGAAGAAAAATTCCGTTTCAAGATTATTGCAACTCATTAATTGATACAAAGTCGGGAACNAACAATGAAAATGGTACCCCAACATACCGTGCATTTCACATACTAAATTATTTCTTTCATCATAACAACCGATGAATCTAGAATGTTCTGTGAAGACTGGGTATGTCCAAAAAATCAATATCGTTGTTTAACAAAGCAATGCATTCCAACCGACTGGGTCTGTGATGGTAAGTAGCTTTTAAATCTTAGTACGTTAATCTGAGTTACTGTTATTTGAGGTGAATGGGACTGTAGTGACGCATCGGATGAACAAAAACTGATTGCTATTGACAAATTTGATGAACATAACGTCGAAGCTGGTTTAAATCTCATAGATATGAAGCAAAAATGTTTTGAAAAATATAAAGATCAACCATTTTCAACAATTTGTAATATTAGCACTGAATTTCCATGTATCGTTGATCATCCAAAGGATCCACTTAATTTTACAATAAATCGTCCTTGTATTGATCTAAATCGAATTGGCGACCATATTTCTGATTGCATCGGTAGTTATGATGAAAGAAATAATTTAGTATGTGAAATGCACGGTATGTTGGGGTACCATTTTCATTGTTCAAAGTCTGTGACTTGCATTGAATATCTTCAGTTATGTAAATTTTTGTGTCCAGATGAACATGCCCCTATTTGTTTTCATAAGGAAAGAAAGTATAAAAATGGTACAATAAGTGAGTGTAATAATGATAATGATGTAATGTGTTTGAATGATACATGTCTAAAAAATGCGCGATGTAATAAGGTGTTGGACTGTCCAGATGGTGAAGATGAATACTGGTGCAACCCTAATGTTGCTGTTGATCCCAGATTTTATAGAGAACAAAAACGACGACTTCGATCTGCAAGGACAACAAATAAACTACCTTACTATCCATTTAATGATATTATTAAGAATAAACGTTCAAATACTAAATTAGTTCAGCAAAAAAGTGATTATTCTAAACTTAATATGATAAATATCAAAGCGAAACAGATAAGATATAAAACCGCTTATGAAATGGTAAATAATTTATTTCCGGACAGTGTCAAGGAAGAAACGCATTATGTACCATTTATATGTAATCGTGGTGTAACTGTTCGTCAAAAGCAGCCAGATGATCAATTAGAAGTGACTTCTTGTTTTTGTCCGCCTAGTTTCTATGGTGAGAGATGTGAATACTTCAGTGATCATATAACGATAATAACACATCTCGATTTATCTAATTGGCGTGTAAGCAATAATAAAAATGTTGTCATTAAAGTATTAGCATTATTTTTATTTAATAATACAATAATTGATTATCACGATTTTCATGTTCAAACAATATCGTATAAAAAAAACGATTTTATTAAACAGAGATTTTATTTTCTTTATCCACGAACAGATGAGTTTATTAATTTAAAAAAAAATTATCGAAATGGTACTCAACTATATAGTGTACGTTTTGAGGCATATGAATTACATATAAATTTGACTATCAGTATTATTGGCGTTTGGATATATCCAATTTATTTTGATTTTTTACCAGCATTTCGTTTATCTAAAGTATTAAAATTAACGGATATCTCTACTAATGATATTGTTTGTTCTACAAATCCATGTGGAAATACTGGCCGATGTCAACCAGTTATAAATAGCAACACATCTTACGTTTGTTTATGCTCAGATGGTTGGTACGGTACTCATTGTAAAAACTTTGAAAATGGTAACTCATGTTTATATTGTAATTCAAAAGCTATTTGTCGACCATATTATTATGGTTTAAACGAAACTAAACAAACATACTGTTTATGTCCATTAGAGCATTTTGGTTCAACATGTCACATCAAATATGATGGATGTGAAATAAATGATTGTATGAATGATGGAACATGTTTATCAACATATGAATTAACCGATAATATTGAACAATATAAATGTGTATGTACAAATCATTTTTATGGTCCACACTGTCAATTTGTTAGAGAAGTCGTACAAATTCAATTTAGCAATATCACAGCAGAACCATCAGTATTAGCTACTATAATACAATATTGTGATGTAGACAATTCATTTGCTGATTTGATTATTCGTCAACAAAATGTGTATAAAAATAAACTATCTCATGTAATTTTTAAGCATGATCAACAGTATGCACCTGCTATTGGAATTATTAAATTATATTTTGATTACACGTATGAATCGCAATATTTTTTGGTCTATAGTCGTCAACAGAAATCAACAGTTAATATAACAACAGAATTATCAGCAAAAAATCAGTGTCAACATGTTAAAACTCTGTTTCCAATTGAACATTTGAACAACAAATCAATAACAGGTACTTCTTCTAAGAAAACCCGTTGTTTATATTAGAAATGTTGATATTGAGGACAGTGGTAAATAGATTCTTCTAACATTTTCAATCAAATTCTATTTGAAACCTAAACGAGTTTCCTTGGAACTGGTAAAAACAATCTTGCTGTAAACTATAATTGACGATTAGTATTCTGCATTTTAAACGCGTAAACGCTTAACAGCGGTTTACGTGATTTCAAAACCATTTTAAGTTAACTTAATATAACGACATAATTACCAAGTGCTCTTACATAACTGCTATATAACTATGCTTTTCGATCTCCAGGATCATTTGAATAAGCTTAGCTTTTCTTTTTGGTATGTGTCCACAATAGCTCCGCAAATGCAAATATCGGTCATGCCTCATTTTGTGAGTATCACTTAAATTGATTACAGAGGGTAGTATCTTGATAATTAACTTAGTTCAATTTTCAATAGAAAAGAACACTACTTTCGTCAAATTGAACACTCTTTCCTTTTTTGTGTTATTTTTCCTGATGTTTTTTTCTCATCCTACACCAGAAATGGCAGCGGGTCTAACTAACTAACTAACGGTCATGCCTCTCAAAATTTTCACAGTAGTAAGTAGTACGCGAAGTGAGAAGGATGATCCTCCTTTTTTAATTATTCGTTATATTGAATGACTGGTAAGCCAACGTTTGCCACTTCCGTGGGAAACGTCTTGAAGACCTCATCGACTTCTATGATTCAAGATTGTTGCAATATATGCAAAGGTCACGGTTGCATAACAACTTGGATCGATCTCACTCTTGAATTATATTCTTATGATTGAATATATGGTGTGTGAAGTCGTGTAGTTCAGCGTCCGGATTATAAGTTCAATAAGTGAGATATTTTACCGTCTACGCAACTTTTTACTTATGAATTATTGCTGATACCCGATGTCCGAAAGTGCTCAATCGACTTTCACCAGATAATGTAAGCAAAACATATGAAGGATATGATGAATTTTGATGCAAATTGCAACTGTAGGTGGCAAATGGTTGCTGCGATATTTAAATTTTAAAAATATCACTGTGTATTTTGATTAGGTATGTTACGAGACCGAGATACCCGTTTTCCCGTGTCTACCCGGGTACGAGACACGAGACCATACCCGGGTGCGAGAGCGAGTATACGAGAACCCCGGTCTCGCTCTCGGTCTCGTTACATACCTAATTTTGATGACGAATTAGATTCACTTACATTTTGGTGTTAATTATGCCAGTTTTTGAATACTAATGCAATAATTATGAAATTTAAACAGATACGCAACTCGTTATGGGCTGCAACATGGCATAAATAGCTGTAGATGTCACGATCTTGTGCTCTTGTCTCTTAATTTTCTTCCAAAATACAATTTGTATTAGGCACACACTCTTAGTGTATATACTAGTCGACTAGCTGTATCGATCTGCCAAATTTTGATTTATTTTTAAGTATGCTGCGCTAAATTTATTGGCGAAAAGCGTCGGCCTGTAACTCTTGGGGAAAAAAAGTTATTGGTGTATTACGGAGCGGAATTGTGCCTCTTCCCAGCTATTTTGACCCATCATGTGAAGCTCACACAGTATGTCATTTCGCTTCATAAGTGGCGCGGATGGCTTTAGATGAACGAGCATTGCATATACTATATATGCAACCCAAAAAGAACTGTTGGGCTATGCAGGAGTTTTGAGATAAAGACATTGAACATGCTAGTTTTCTAGAAGACCTTTTAAAGTGAAACTTTATTCAAAAACTTTCATACCCACATGATTGGATAGAGCGTTCAATTCTGAGCAAAATGAAATGTTTTGAAAACTTTTACAACTTGGGTTGGCTGAACTAAAGGCTTTACAAAATGTACATTTGTGAAATTCGTGTTTTCAGTTTCTAACCGAGTATTTTCGGGCACTTTTTGTGTTTCTAATGCAAATTTTTAACGGTAAATCGTAGAAACGTTGACAATATGTCATTTGAGTTGTGAGTCTGTTTAAATTTTCATAATTATTGCATAAGTGTTCAAAAAATGGTATAACTAACACCAAAATGTAAGCGAATCTAATTCGCCATGAAAATACAGTGGTATTTAGGGGTGTTAGCCGATTACTATATCGGCGGTGGTGTGTCAAATTGAAAACTTCATCAGCGACGACGGCAAAAAATTGAAAACAATATTTCTGCCTTTGGCGACGTGAAATTTCAAAATTTTCTTTAGACGGTGGCAGCGTCGCGGCTGACACCGTTAGTGGTGTTTTTTAAATTTAAGTATCTTCGCAATCATTTGCTACCTAGAGCTGCGGTTTGCACCAGAATTCATCATACCCTTCATATATTTGCTTACATTATCGGAACCTCATCTGGTGAAAGTTGATTAAGCACTATCGGACGTCAGCTATCTGCAATGGCTCTTATATCATCGAGCGTAGGCTTGACTTTGCTTTAAGGTTTATGCTTGAACCAGTACGGAATTGAGAATATAAATTCCCGTTATATCATTCTGAAGCATAAACTATCAAAACGCAAAATCAATTCTTGCACGAAGTTGGGATCGAACGCAAGAACTTGATCTTTTTTCCAGGCGAACTGCAAAAATCACACTCGCTGTTCTTTCTTATATTCTGTATAATGATTGACGTTGTACAATGAGTCGATGTTATCCTTCAATGTATATTTTTAAAAAAAGGCCTTTTCTAGTCGTTTTCAGCTAGCAAAACTTCAGCAGTGTCGAGGCAGTCGAAAATCCACGTCCTCAATTGTCACGCCATACAACATCAAATAGTTAATCAAACAACTTTGTTATTTTGAGTTTCGAAAATTTTTTGAAAAATTTTTAACGGATTAAAAGGTCGGCTACTCTTCCAAAAGTGAGCAAAAACGTAATTTTCTGGATAATATACCCGTACACTATTCTTTCCCTTGAACCGATAAGTATTCTGTAGTACATAAAATTA